GTATTTCAATCAGCTTCTAGTTTTATGCACATGCTTATTCACCACTCATTTAATTTCACTTTCCTCTGTGATACTTGCACAGAATTTCCTCCACATGTCTACTCCTGAATTCTTTCAGCAGTGCTACCTTCTAGTACTTATTGCATCACTACTACAACGCCACTATAAAAATACCTACTATAAAATTCAGAAATTTTAAAGGGTATCAGAAAAGAAAATATCACTGAATAAATCAAGAAAAGGCACAAGCTGATACAGCCTTGGGAAGATTCCACTGTGACACGAATGTCATGGTAGTCTTCTTTGGTAAAACAGCCAACATGGGAGCAATGCATGACAGCTACATGGAGGTTTTTGCCAAGTGCATTTTTAAAAATACACATGAATTTTGCATTGGCTTTTTAACATTCCACATTAACTGGTTTCCAGGCATGCTTCTGAAGAATGTAAAGTACATAAAAATGTAAAACACTTATCTCTAACATTTTCTTTGATGGCTTTCAATAAAAACACAGATCCACACACCTTGACTTTTGTACTTTGATAGCTAACTGGCTGTGCTGCCAACAACTGAAGGGACCACATCCGTCAGGCACCCAGTCTCAACAGAAAGGGTAATACCAAGGTGGCAGAGCTGGGATGCTGTACCATAAGAGCTGTAGCATCACATTAGGCTTCAACAGGTGTGCAGATGACTGACTTCTTGAATTTTGATACCAAATACAATCAAAATAATCATAAGCTTGTGTGACTTGGTAAAATTGTCAGTCCATGTGCTCAACTGACTTTCATGACAGAGGGCAACTCTATCCCAATGCAGCTGGAAAGGAGCAGAGCTACGTTCACGTGAGAAAAGTCACTCTGCATCATCCTTTTACATGGTAGCACAGTATCTACGCTCACTCCACTTCCAGGACAAATCCAAGAGACATGACCTTGCTGAGGCATCAGGCTGGCCTCCGTCCTGTGCAATACAAAGGCATGTGAAATCCCTCAAAGAAAATAAACCTGCATTCATAAATATTCCTGGTTTGCATGACTCAAATTACAATCTAAGGACACAAGTGAGATGATACATCTACAACTGTTGCAGAGTGCAGTGCTCCTGAAGTTCTGTCTTTCCAATGAAACATCATAAAAAGGTGCTGACATCTCGAGGTTATTAAAGAGATCACAGAACTATTATCTCCACAGTATGACAACACCTTTTGTTTAGCTGTCTTCTAGTAATGTAAATGTGCCCAAATGCAGCATACTTACAAATTCAAATCATAAACTGCTATTACAAATCATAAAATGTTATTAGAATTACTAAAGAAAATAACTAAGTTGAACATAGAGAACAAGTCATATAAGCAAAGATGGACAGTCATACCCAAGTGACTAACTTCCTCAGGCATTACTTAACCTATTCATAGTCATTATTTATTGATAGCAATATAGTTATTTCTGAAAGCCAAAATTAGTCTACACTTCAATTTCTAGTTGGTGGGGTTTTTTCTCCAAATGCCTTTGAGAAAATAAAACTTACTTCCCTGCTTTAAAAAATTTCATCATCAATCTGTTACCTCTCGCTCTGGCTAAGTATGTTACCTGACAAGAGGAAGACAGACAGGATCCTTCTCTGAATGCTTTGGTGCACTGCCTCCTAATCATCATTAATGAAACATCACAGAATGTTGCAAAGAAGTGTGAACAGCATAATCTCCTGTTAACTTGAAACTGATGTATCTTACAGCACTCTGTTTCAACACTCCTGCTCACCACATATATGAACTCTAATCAATTATATATCGTTTATAGGACATTGCCCATCTAGAACATTTTTACTGGGAATATAACATGTTAACTCTTAATAATAAGGGTTAACATGAGAAAGATGATATTGCAGATTAATGCATCTGAGCACCAGATTCAACAGTTTATTATCAGGTAAAATGTTAACCAGAGGTACCCGTGGTGAAGACAGCTATTCTTAAAGTCCAGCTAGGCATCCTTACAAGGATACAGTCCAGTAATTACATGCACAGTACTTAAGGTTTCATTAAATCAATTAGAACCTCCTAGAACACTTTTTCTGAGTAAGCTTTACACCAGAAGTTTCATAGTAGAGATACACTTTTCATAAATGTAACTGTCTTATGCTCAACACCATTCATTTAAGATGATAAATTATTTGCATTAAATGCATTATTTATTATAAGCTTCAACTTGCCTTTATCAATGCTGTTTAGAGAATTTATATTTACTTTACTAGGCAATTGTGAACAGGAAAGGCAGTTCTTTAGTACACAGAGGGCAAAATTTAAACTGTAACTGCTACCGCAGGTTAAGCTGTGTAACAAAAACAAGCTAATGGACAACAATGTATTTTATTTCTGGCAGCACTAAGGGCATTTTATGCACTGTGTACAGGGAGACTAACAAATAGTACCACTAATACAATATAGCATACATACTATTGTAGTATGACTCTGTGGAAGAGTTAATGCTTGTGAGTACCAAATTCAGGAATTAAAATTCATTGAAGGCATTGACTTCAAAGGTCCCTGAAAGATATTCAGAAGCCCAGCTTAGCTACTGTTGAGGTAAATGACAGATTTCTTGAAACTTGAAAATTTCACCCTTTATTAACTAAGCACTAAAGTTAAGGTGCATGACTAAACTAATAAATGGTTCAGAAAAGATAACCAGGAAATTACCAGTCAGCATTTCCCACTCCACAGTAACTACACAGTACCACATGAAATGATCAAGCAGCAGCTTGTAAACAAGCAAACAGAAGCGTGTGAACTGTGTGCCTGAATCTACTACATGCTGAACAGGCCAGATGTATCAAGGAAACTCAAGGAAAATTAGAGAGGTTCACAATAAAATAAAAGGGTTAGTAGTCCAAACTACTGTCTGCCAGGGTACAGGAACAGTACATCAGGGCATGCACGTTTAGCTTGCTATTCCAAATACCTGCCACTGGATAAACGGAACTTTCAGAGGAGGTAGACCTCATCTTAGCAAGATGTGCTACCGGGCTGACCAGAATGGCTGCTCTTCATGTGTCAAATCCTCAGCAAAGATCTCGAGGAGTTTTAAATATTTATATGCCCCACAAGAAGCCCTCAGGTTTTTGGCTTTGTGACAAAAAAATACAGCTTTTCTAACTCCCCCATCACCAAACTAGTTTATCACTCCGATGAAAAAATAATTCATGTGTGTATTTTCCTCAAGAACAACAGCTCTGAATCATGTTACAAACTGCACAACAATTAATGTGCATTTTACACACTTCTCATACAAGTGTCTCCAGGGCTGATAGGAAGAACAGAGACATACGCTTTGCCTTCCTCTTTTTGCACACAAAGTTTTAGCACCTCTTCTGAGAAGTAACAGTGAAAACTGAAATTTATGCGACAGAGTATCTTGTTATCTACCCACAGAGTCACCAAAGGAAGGATCTTTATCCTGCTTGAAAAGGTATGCAGATCATTCCTTAATATTTCAATTTCTACAGAAAATACCTCTTTTGGCTATGTAAAGCACCAAAACTCAGTGAGGTACAGCAGGGTTAAAGTTGCCAGTGAGCTGAAAGAAAGCTGAAGTTTCAGTCACTCGGAAACAAAGGCACAGGTCTCTGGATGAATGCCTGTGAAGAAACACGTTCCATACAGGATGGAAGAGGACAGTAAAACAGTGAGTCAGATCATCTGGAATCAATAGATCCAGTGCAAGAATAACAAAACACTCATTTTTCTTCAAACAGTTTTCTTTTTCAACCTACAGTAGGTCTGTGGTCCCAGGTATATCAAGCAAGCTTTGCTGGTGTGTATTGATATATATGATATAGTCAAAGCAGTTCTTGTGTAAACGTAGTTACATCAGATGAATTACAATTTGTTATAGTAAAACAAAAATCTTCCCACACAGCTTTATTGAAGCCATAGTCAACAATGTTACAGCCACTCTCACAGTACTGTTTATCCCAGTTTAGTATACACTGCTATATTTGTATACAGCACTTATACTGCTTACCATCCCTACTATAAACAGGGTGCCACTTGCATGCCACTTAAAAATCGTTTCAGACTAACTGCACACTTACCCCCCTTTCCAGGGTGCTGGCTTACATACAATGCAATTAGTAAAATAAACGTAAAAGACACTGTATACCTCTCCTGAAAACCTTGACGTGCTTCAGCCCATTTCCCTGCTCTTCATAAAGCCACAGTCCTCAGTAACTTACACCATACCATTTGTACCAGCAAATCCTCAATCACCAAGACTTCCTAACTGACAAGGGACTTACTAAAGCACCACTACCCATCCGTTAAAGCCTCTTCATTGTATGCTATCTAATATCCATACCTTTATAAAACATCAAAATAAAACTTGTTCTTCTCCCTTTCCTTCTACCATGAACTGTAAGGAACCTAAGGCCCTGACTGAAGACTAACGATTGAAAAAGAAATCTTGAACTAACAGTAATGAAGAAGCATTACATTTAGTGATACACAGGGGCTTCAGTAATTTGTCTTGCTGGTGCTGCTATCTCACTAACCTCTACCACAAAAATACCCATAGGCTTAGTTGCCCAAGAGTGAGGCTCTTATCTAAACAATGCTTTCCCAATTGGCCTGTCAACCATTTTGAATCAGTGCAATCTTGTCCAGATCCTGCATGTGAAAGCTCTCCAAAAGACCACCTAACTGCATGAACATCTTACTTGGCAAGTGTTTGTATTTTACCCAGCCTGACTAATAGCACTTGTAATTCTGCAAGAACAATGAGTTTTGGTGGTCTTAGAATAAGGTGCAGGTAGTATTTTGAATTCATTGTGATACACTTTGATGGCCTTTCTGGAAGGCAACTTATTTCAAACACTGACCAGAAAAATCTTCCTCACTATTTAAAGTGTTGTTAAATCACCTGAATTTATATCTTAAATATTCTGTCTAATAGGTGCAAGATTACCTAATAAAAATACACCTTAAGATCAAGATACTTACAAAAAGCAGAAGCAGAAGTGGAGTTATAACAATGCCCTGGAAGAAACAAACAAAAAAACACTGTTAGTCAGGAAAGCAGAATAGTCTTTATTTCTTTGTACCTTAGTGCATGGAAATACACAAACATCATTCAACATCATAGAAAATAAATAACAAGGAATTCAACTTTGCTCTTCCCTGTGTACATTCTTTAACAGCTGTATGCCGATCATTATAAACTATTCTCAGTACAAAGTATTTTTTTTTACCACTAGCTTTCCCGATTTTGCACCTAAGCCCCTCTATTTTAAAAGATCTAATATACAGAAATATAGATCATTTATCTAAAAAGACATAATAAAGCTCTCCCCTCACTGTGCCGTATCTTAACTTCTCTAAGCTGCTCCCTCCTTAGGGGGAGACTTGTGATCAAGTCCCATGCTATCCAGTCCCAGGTCCTCTTCTGAGCAAAAGCCGCATCAACCACGATCAATTAGGTGCTGTGACTGTGTAATGTAAACTGATATTCCCCAAGGAAATGTGCTGAGATCTCAAAACTCATTTCACTTGATTAGACTTTGTGTCTCACTGGTAGAAGGCAAGTCTTTCATCTAATTTAATCACACAGGACCACCTCAGCTTTCCACATCCCCCAGGCAGACACAAGCAAAAAAGATTTGTTGTCTTCACTGACAAGGAACAGGTTTAAAGCTGATGATTGGACAAACTAGAGGATTTTAAGTTTCATGAGAGCAAACTTAAAATGAGTTGTTTGGGTTGGGAGTTAACATGACATGCATCAGTTTCATAGCTGCAAATAGCAATTCCCCATCATCCTTCTATCTGACTTCAATATTTTATTACTGCTCAATAAAATGATTCTATCATTTAACGCATGCTAATTCACAAAGCTTCCTCAGAACCTCTCTAAACCAAGACTATTCTTCATCCAGATATGTCTCAAGAATAACTAGTCTTTCAGCTGTTCACAAGCTTTATTGTTTAAAGGACAAAAGTCTAAAACTTGCTCACATCCATCTAAAAGGATGCTTATTTTATGTTTGGTTTTAGCTCTAAGTGAAAAACAATTGAACAAAAAAAGCAGTTGTCCCCTGCTTCTCATTTAACCTTGAGTAACACAGCTTTACTCTAATCTTTTGGAAGCTAATATAAAGAAAAACCTTATATGACTAGTTTTGCATTTGCTTTCTTGGTCCACAAAAAAATCACGGATCCAGACAGCCCATTAAGCACAGAGAGTTCCTATTGTACTCTTAAAACACAACAAGTAAATGTCACAAATGATAGCAGACAAGAAGGATCAAGGAAGCAACAGTTAAAGCCATGCAACTTGAAGACTCTGCAGAATTTAAAAGCATATTTTGAAATAAATAATATATGCCATATCTGACTGCCCCACAGCCTAGCTATCCATAATCATTTATCTTTTTGCAAATGTCATGGCTGAGCTAGATCATAAAAGACTAGAAAAAGTAGAAGCAATAAGAATCGCTTCAGGGAGTCACTCACTGTTTACAGGGAGGCCTAAGCCAAATGCAGATAACAGTTATGAAGAAATATAGGTGTTCAAGTACACCAGATGTAGAAGATGAAACGAAAGTTGAGGAAGGGAGGAGGCACCAAGAGCTGAACTGACACTTGCATACAGGAGCATCTGTGATGCTTAGAATGAAGAACTGACAGTAAGATCTGTATACTGTATATGCAACAGAGTCAATTCAGAATGACCAAACTTTTTACGTACTACCAAGAACATGTAAGACACTCCCCTTCTTTTTCTTTCCCCATTGACAAGCAAACTGCACAGCCCAAATATTACCAAGTGCCTGAGTATTCTCTAAGAACCCTGTAATTTTGAGATGGCAGAACACCACTGCAGCAGGGTTCCATCTTCAGACCTTTGCACGACCAAAGAGGAGCATGGATGGAGCGGGAGTTGATAGGCCAAAAGCATCCTGTATTCCAAATGAGCATTGAGTGTGGGGAGAACAGAGCACACTGCCAGCTGATGAGTACAGCCAGCTCGTCTTTAAATCTGAAGGAACTCATTGATGCAGCACCGTTAGTCACTTCTTATGTGCTTCAGGCCTCAATACATTTCATAGCGCTTTTATGCATTACAAAAAAATGCAAAGGTAAAAGAAAAAAAACAAAACAAAACAAAACACAACACCAACAAACCAAAACAACCTTCCCCTTTATCTTGTTGATAAATAAAGAAGATGTCCTTCCTCTTTAGGATGGGACCTGTGACTTGGTATATATTTGCTTTAGAAGCTTGGTGATATTAACACAATGGGCAATAGCCACTGCTAATTCAAAGCATATGTCACAAAAGGAAACATTACCTCTGTGACAGCAACACTTCTTCATAATTCTGTAAGCAAAGAGGAAGAGAACCCTGGTATACATCATAAATAGATTCCTAACTGAGCTTGCTGAAAATCTAGCATTCAAGAGGTCAATTCTAGCAATTCTTTACAAAATTTTGCTATTAAACCTGGTGATCTTAATAATGAGAAGCAAGTCTCCTGTTGTCTCACCACAGAAAGGATTTGCAAGGCTGAATTTTCCCATTTGCAACACAGACACAATTCCCTGGGAAACTAAACAATTACCTGCCAGAACAGACAAGTTCATTTAAAAAAAAAAATAGATGCTGAATCAGAGCAATTTGATGTTAATGTTTTATTTTGATAAGGAACGCCGGTTTGAAAACCCACAGGGACTACATTAAAACCAAAGGGGTTTTTTCCATCAGTAGTACTGTGGTGACTGTGATGGTTTACGGGTAAAAGCAAGGCAGGATTTGTTAGGGGAGGGAACCTCTGTTACTAGACTGACTGAGGGAGTTGGTGCAGAACAAACTTTGAGCATGTGAAGCCCATGTATGTGTTACTTGAAAACACTGGCGTGCTTTTACGTGCAGAAGCCCTCTCTTCAGGTTTCTGTTCCAGGTTTGGATGGTTTACACTATGATATATCTGTCTAACAAAAGGTATTACCCTTCCCTGCACACACTGGTTTGCTTCAACACACTACCTCTTCATTAGAAACATGCTCGTCAATATGCTCAAAAGCATTATGTGGTACATCTCAATTCATGCCCACTAAAGAATAATATATAGAACACACTGAGTCTAAAGTCTACTGATAGAAAACACAGATGACTATTTTGGTTTTGAAGGTAAAACCAAAATCTGATTCACTCAGAATAAACAGTGGAAGAAAACAATTACTCTACACAGTTCAGCTCACGCACTAGCAGAGGTGTCACAAAGACAAGCATATTCTTACACTGGCAGTGTGGCTGCTGTCTAAGACTACAACAGGCTGAAAAGCACAAAGGAAGCTAAAAATTGAAATAAAGACTACCTTTTCGAAGTCCATTGGACACTAACACCATCACAGAGGAAGAAGTAACTAAATTTGACTATGCTTTTCCCTGCCTTGCTTCCCAGGCAAGTGCTGTCAAATACATAGTGTATGGAGATAAACAGATTTTATATTAGCACTTCCACCAGAAGCTGAGCATCTGCCCTTGAGAATGCAAGGTCATTACACAGTTTTAGCATCTTCAAAGTTCGGGTGGAGTGTTAAGCTTTGCGACTGTTGCCCACAATGGAGCCAAAGTTGTAAAGTGACTGCCGTTTGCTATCAGCAGAAAAACTTTCAAGAAATCCATTTACACCTCTGATGTGAAAGACTGACTGAATATATTTCAATGATTTCAGTGGAAAGGGAAGGAAAAAAAATAATCTCAGACTGACCTGAGACACTGATACAACACAGGAGTCTGAATAGTCAGATACCTGTAAATGCATTTCTTTTTACAGTGATGATCATGAAACATGTCTTAATTAAGAGAGTTTAAATATGGGTTTGTGTATGCGAACGTTGCATAAACATACACTTTAACAGCAAGGACATACTTGGAGATCCATTTAATTGTTATTTCCCTTGTATAGATACAGATGTAAAGAGGTTTTCTGTTAGTTTCATCCAATACAGCACTGCTGTAGAGCAGATATTAAAAGGTGTTTATTCTTCAAAAGAATATGGAGAATCAATATGTGTAATTGGCTTCCAAACTGGACAGCAAAAGGAAATAACATAATGGATTTGAAATGATGATGGCAAATCATTAAGAAAGAAATTATGCAAATAATAATAAGAAGGTGGGCACAGATCCAGAGGGACACATGGTAGTAGACAAGTAAGGATTATTGTAATGAGGCATGAAATAGATGTGAACTTTCCTTCCTTTCTTTTACCCACAAATTTCCCATGCAATTTTTCTTCATTCTTACAGGTCATCAGTATGACATCCATGTGGCAACTCCTAGTGAAAAAAAACTTAACCAAAGTCACATCTGATTTCTCTTAGGAAGTGGGGCTAGAAAGAAAAAAAAAAAAAAAAAAACACAACAAAAAACCCCCCAAAAACAAAACACAAAACCGAAAAAACACAAACCAAACCCACCAAACAAAACCCAAACAAAAAGGGTTTTGTAATCAAGGTTCTGAACAAATGTGTATTTTCTGAAATCATTTACCTACTCATGCTTACAGCTACAGATGTTCTTGAATGCTTCATCAGTGCAGGAAACAAAAGGAGCAGAAGTGCAAGCAGCATTATGTCATAAACTGAATAAAGGTTAGTAAAAAGTTAACTGGGCAGCATTTCCATTGCTACTGATAGGGTAAGCTGTGAGAAAAATGGCTATGAACTCTGGATAATTTCATCAAAAGACAAGCATGAATGAGAACTGAAACTCAATCTTCATCTGTGAAGCAGTATTTCTCATATGGTTTTATTTCAAGAGTCACTGGCACTTTTTGGAAAAGAAAGAGCAACCAAAACAACTCAGTCTGCCCTCCCACCCCCAAAGAAAAATCTGTGCAGTTTTTCTGATTACAACATGAGAGACAGACTTCACCTTGAAACATTATTTCTATTTCTTCTTATGTCTTTTGTTTCCTTGCTTTTGTGCCTTAAGTGTGTTTTATGTGTTTCCTTGCTTTTGTGCCTGAAG